CAGAACAGGCAGACCAACAAAGTATACTGCTGAGGGGAGCAGCGGGTGGGGCAGGAGAGGTCTGCCACACCATGTGGGTCAGCTTCCTGGCTGAGGATAGAACCACTGCTGCAGTGGCTTTGGAGAGCTTCATAATGTGATGCTTTAACCCATTGTGCCACCAGGGACAGACCTATATTTCCATATTTTTAAATTACAAATAAACACATTACAGCTTCTTGTTGCAATCCTAACAGTTTGTAACTAAACAGTGACTGGATTTTTAGAGCTTATTGGTAATTTAGACAAGGAGAGGAGGAAGAGACAGCTAGAAATAAAAAAAAAAATTAGGAAAATTAAAGTGCCTGTGACATTCTCCAAAATAGCCAGAAGTTGCCCCAATTCCTTTCTTATGTTCTTATTACTGTCCTCATCTCCTAACTGGTGATCTGAATAATAGAGGCAGTGATGTAGAAGAGTTTTCCTGTTTTATTTGAAATTTATCGCAGACTTACAGCATCATTATCTTGCAAGGATGATAATAGATTACATGAATCATACATTTGGGGCTGGGATCTTCTCAGTGGGATATGAAAATAGGAAAGACTTCCTAGTACAAATAATTGGGAATGGAAGGATAAAAGAATCAAAGCTGTTCTACAATAGGAGATTGCGGTAGGTTGAAGAATGCCTACGCCCAAATAGTCATGTCCTAATCCCTGGAGCCCTAAATATTATCTTATATGACCAAAGAAAAAAGGGGGTGTTTTAAAGACAAAGTATAAGTCTTGAGATAGGAGGTTATCTGCATGGGCCTTAAATGCAATCTCAAGAGGAGGAGAAAGAAGACCCTGTTCACAGAAGCAGTGATTAGCATGATGTACTCACAAGCCAATGTATGTTCGTAGCTACTAGAAACCAGAAGAGGCAAGGAATGAATCTTCTCTAGAGTTTCCAGGAGAAGCACAGTGGCTGGTAGCTCAGTGATACTGACTGGACTTTTTTTCTGGTTTCCAGAATTGGAAATTGTTGTTTTAATTTGTTGTATTAATTATACAAAATTTGTGGAAATTTGTTATACTGGCTAAAGAAAAAAAAAAAAATGGAGATTGTACTACCTGAAAGCAGGGAGCTGTAACGAATACCTAACAATATGAATAGTGGCTTTGGAATTGGGTAATGAACAAAATGAAACTGGAAGAGGCAAGAAGCGGATTTTCCCCTGGATTTTCTAGAGGGAGCACAGCCTGGATAACACTTTAATTTTAGCCCAGAATACTGTTTTTGATTTCTTACCTACAGAACTGTGAAAGAATAAATTTCTGTTGTCTTAAGTGTGGTAATGTGTTACAGCAGCCATAGAAAATTAACATAGAAATAGAAGAGAGGGGCCCTCCTGGGTGGCAGCAACATGGGTTAAAAGCACAGCACTAAGAAGCTAAAGCTACTTCAGCATGAGTTTGATCCCCACCCCAGAGGTGACCCATATGGCATGGCAGACCTCTCCAGACCCGCCTGCTGCTTCCCTTAGCAGTGTACTTCGTGGATCTGCTTGTTCTGCTCCCTGACCTGCCTCTGGTGAATACTCTTACCATTCCTGCACTTCTGGCCTGTACCCCAATTCTATATGCATAAATAACTAAATCTTGGGGGGGGAAATAGAGGAGAGTCAAATGGTTTCTGCCTTTATCTATGTTTTCTTGTTTTTCTGTTTGAATTTGAGACACTCTCATGATTATAATTAGTTTTTTGCAGCCATAAAGCTTTTATAGTAACTTTTACTATTCTCTTTTTTAAAACAGGGAATGTTTGTTTAAACAATTAACTTTCTATTTTAAACATAATGGCATTATATGAACTGAAAATACTGGTAAAGGGGCTGACTTCTGTTCTCAGCTATGCTACTTAATAGCTAAGTATCTCTTGGTAAATCATTTACTGAATCTGAGTTTCATTTGAACAATGGAAATAATATTAATTCTTCTCACAAAACCACATAATTGTTATAAGGATTTAATGACATAAATGCTTGTGAAAATTGCCAAATAGATAATGTAAATAGGCATTTTTGTAATCTCAAATTATGTTTCTTCCAGCTACATCAAAAGTTATGTTGAACAATTTTGCTTGTAAGTGACTGACCATACTAAATATTTTTTTTCTTCTCTTAGATTAGATTCTAGAAGTGGGATTTTCAGTTCAACATTTGAACACTTTTAGCTTACTTATTAACATACTCCTTTTCAGAAAACCTGTATTACTTTACTCTCCCATTGGAAGTACACGAGTACTCAGTTTCTTCCACTTGTACTCTAGAGTGTTTTTTAAAATGTGTTTTAAAAGTTGGCTTAGTTGATGAAAACTATTAATTGTATTTTTTGGCTTGTTAAATATATTCACTAAACATTTGTATTGTTCACTAGTGAATTCTTTGTGTTCTTTGATTATATCTTCAAATAATTATTTGTCCTTTCCTTTACTGATTTTTAGAAAGTCAGTGTTCATATGTTAGTTCATTTTTGTTGTGTGTTTCTTCACTATTTGTTGTTTTGCTTACCTTTAACTTTTGTTTATGATGACTTTTTTTTAAAGATTATTTATGCATACACAACTGGGGTACAGGCCAGAGGTGTGGTGGTGAGAGGACTCACCAGAGTGAAGAACAGAACAGGCAGATCTATTGAAATACATCACTGAAGGGAGCAGTGGGTGGGTTAGGAGAGGTCTGCCACTCAGCAGTGGGTGGGTCAGCTCCCTGGCAGGGGATCGAACTCGTGCTTCAGTTGCTTTGGAGAGCTTCATAATGTGATGCTTTAATCTGTTGGGCCACCAGGGAGAGCTCTGTTTATGATGACTTTTGATACACCAGTTTTTGGCATTTGAATGTAGTCATATTTAGTGAAATTTTATTGTTAAAGTCCCTCCTTTTTTTCTCTCCTTCTTCTTTCCCTCTCTTCATTGTCCCTCCATGCTTCCATCTGGAAAAAATCTTTCCCATTTGGCTGCTTTTATTGATATTTTAAGCACATAGATTTGGCCTTAGTTGGCATTAAAGCATACTGAAATTCAGGGTCTTATCAGGTAACATAATCTCAAGATACCTGTTTGCCAAATTTGATTAAATTGAGTGAAAAAAATAATACTCAGATGATTGGCTGAAAGCTATACTAAATTTGATTTTAAGAGGAGAGTATCTCATAAAAACATTTGCTTGCAGTCTGTTAATTTCACCTTCTCTGACTCATGATCTGTTATCAGTCTGTCTTAAGTAATGCAGAAATTGAAACAGGAAACAGAAACAAATTTATTAATTCATACCTTACCGCAATGCCACTAGCTCCTTCCTCTAAGTCTTCTTGCCCTTAATAAGGATACAATTCTACTATTAGTTGAATGCTAATTCCATCGCTAACAGTTTGTATGCTTTTTCTCAATTTCCACAGCAGCCATAATAGGAAAAATTATTATTCTACTTTTACTCATGAATAATCAGGTACATTGAAAGTTAGAAGTGATTTGCGCAGTACCACATACAGTGTAGGTTGATGAAAAGGATATGAATTCAAATGCAGGAATAGGATATCAATTCAAATGAGTTCTGATGTGAATGGGCTCTGATTCCAGAACCCCATTTTTTCATTATTATTCTTTTTATGTGTGCACACGTGCACACACACACACGTGCACATAAACTAACCCTCCACTCCTCCCATATCTAATTTCCTTATAGTGATAGGACCTGATATTTATGTGCACAGAAAAAAACCCTCCACTCCTCCCAATATCTAATTTCCTTATAGTGATAGGACTTGATATTTCTGATCTCTTTTGTCATTGATATAGTAAGAAAGGCAAAGCAGAGTGAATGAAGAACAGCAACATCCAAGATAATGAACTGAATAAAAGGATGTTCAACTGTAAACATTGTGGGATGGGTTTAGAACTTCATATTTTTAAAATGACCCATTTTATTCTTATGCTTCTTGGTTCATACATCTCACATGTATAATATGCTCTTAACAAGGGAAGTCATGACAATTTCCAAGCAACCAAAGACTTGGAGACAAGTGGGTTGGTCTTATTTTGGCAATTGTAATGCATTTCTTTTATTGTTTTTGATTGATGGCAGCCTGCTATGGTGGGTGTGATGTGAGCCTTTGAGAACTGCTTAAAAACAAAACAAAACAGAAACAACTAGTAGTCTTTTACTAGCGTTTGGATGACTAATAATTTTACCTTCTGTTCAGTTTTAAGCAGAATAGGAATTAGTTCAGTGGGGATGGTGTTTTTTTTTTTTTTTTTTCTAGAAAAAAAAAACTTGGGGCAGTCATGTCATTCAGATTCCTGCTGTTATTTTACTTAGATTTATATCTGTCAATTTTAGGGTTTAATAAGTCTGCAAGTAATTTTTGGTCCACAGGGATTACGAATGAGATTAAAACTACACAAAATGAAGAATGATATAAAAAAAAAGTCTGCAAAAGTAATAGAGAAGTGTGCTATAGCCTTTTTGAGCCCAAGGTCCTGTTCCCCGTAGTATCCCCACTGCCTACTCAGGGTCTCTGCAATGATGAGGTAGGGAACGAATGAAAATCAACCAGTGCAGTTGGAAATCAGGCTTGCTGGCAGATTTGGGGGTGATTTAGAAAACACAGTTGTCCCTGTAAATTGACTCTAACAGAGGCTTGTTTTGTGATTGTTTTCAGAAAGATTACCACTTTGAATATACAGAATGTGACAGCAGTGGCTCCAGGTGGAGAGTGGCCATTCCGAATTCTGCTATGGACTGCTCGGGCCTGCCTGACCCTGTGAGAGGCAAAGAATGCAGTATGTTTTGACATTTTTTCCCCTGCTTAAATCATAACCCCTTCATGTTAACCCAATAAGTTAATTATAATGAATATAAAAGACCTTTGAAAAATGGACATGTAGCACTGATGCCTAGCAAAAGAAAAGCACACTTTTGATGTCTGGTATCTACATGAGACACAAGGCATTATGAGAGATTTTATTTTTTTATTTATTTAAAATATACAAATTTATGGGATTTAATTTCTCTTTCATTGATGTATTTTTTTCTTTAAATTTTAAAAAGGGATTAAAAAATGGGAAATATACATAATGCACATTTTACCATCTGAAACCATTCTTTCAGTGTCCAGCTCATTGGCATTGTATAAATCACACTGTTTTACTGTCACTGCCATTAGCCTTCCTCAAAATACTGTGATCTAGTAATGGTTCCCTTTCTTAATTCATAGAAATAATACAATTTTCCTTTTCAGTGTAAGCTATAGAGAGGTTGTAAATTAATACATAATCATATTCTTTTAGCAATTAAGCAGGTTGGAAGTACAACATTATGAATTAAGAGAGAAATATGTCATTCATTTCATTTTCATTTGTAAACTCTACTTTTCTATCTGTTTAATTTGGATTCCTATAGTTTTTTAGGTTAGGAGTGGTCTGGACTTTAAAGCAGAAAATAAAATGGAGAGGCTATTTTGGTTTTCTTGCTGTCATCCAAATGGTATTCCTAAAAGTTTAGTTCATTTGTTTTCAAGTGAAAAAAGATTTAAGCAAAGTATTAGATCATAGTTAACTCCTTCCTCCTTCAGAGGAAAAAAAATATGCCTGTTTTTGATTAGGTTGTTTTTTTTTTTTTTTTTTTTTGTATGGGTGGAGGGCTTACTGATAAGAGGGAGACAGTAGACAGCAATAGTCTCATAAGGAAAATTAGGGAAGAAACCCATTACTTCTTGATAAATGGTATAAAAGTGAATAGAGATTGACCCAAGAACCCCTATAGTAGGTAAAAGACATCAGTCCAGCAAGAGCTTTAAGAGGTCATAGAGTTAGTATGAGGCTGGAGGGTGTGCGCCATCTGGGCAGAGGCAGGAAATAACACCTATGGAAGCAGCTCATTGTAAAATTATTTTGGTTACCTTCTTGGAAGTCTTAGCTATTGTTTATTTTATTAAGCTTTTAATATTGGCTACTTCACTGTGTTGGTGACCTTGTAAACCCCCTCGTCGAAGTTGACTGCCAGTCCACCATGAAAGCTAATCTGTATCTAGCAGATGTGCTGGTGCTGGCTGGCACTGCCTTCAGAGCGCTGGTTGTTAATTTGAAATGGCTTATTGTGGAGTTTTTTATTCCATGGAAACTGGTGAACATTACAAATCGGGAGTTTCACTTTCCTTTGAGAACAATTGTTAAACAGTTACACTGAATAAATTATTTGGCTAAAAACTCAAAATTTTATTACAGAAATGATGCCTGATTACTAATCTCTATTTGAATACTAGTTTCTATTTGAATATATTCAGAGACATTTTGGCTCATTATTTACTACAATCTTCCACAGATGTTTTGTACATGAAACTCTACTAGGACTTTTGTACAGATTTCTGAAAATAATCAAGTCACTGTTATTACTAATTTAAAAAAAATACAATTTAAAGATGACAATACTTATGTGGTGACTGCATATTTTTTAATCTCGGTATTTTGTCTGGAATCTGAATTTGCAAATAGTTCACCATTAAATATACTTTTTTTTGGGGGGGGGACGCTGTTCATCTGGTCTCAATATGTGACATTTCATTCATGTGGTAAAATCAAGTTATTTTAAAACTTACAATTAATAGATCTAAGTAACTTAAAAACTCAGTTAATTCATAACATTCCACATGTTAATGTTTACCGTATTACGACTCATGAATGTACTGCTGAAGGCAGTTTTCTTCAGTTAGTTAGATAGTCTCTTGTTAATAATAGTTGCTATTTCTCATGTATTGATGATGTGCTAAACATTGTGCTTGGCGCTTTGAATCAGTCTCCCATTACAACCACCTTACAGTTCTCTCAAAGAGCTTCTCTCAGTGTTTGCATTCTACTGATGAGAGCAATCAGAGTTAGAGTGGTGTAATAAGTTATCACCCACCATATCACCGACATGTGACAAATTTGAGATTCAAAAACACACATCTAATTCGAGAGCCTGCCCATTACCCTGTCTTAAACTGCCACTTGAACATCCAGCCTGGAACAGCTTCTAAAGCCCCAGCTGGAGGACTCATAGGTGAACATCTTCAAAGGAGATTTTAGAAACTGTGCTTCAAGATAAAAGAGGGAAGTGACCTACCAGCAGAGAAGGTGTAGAGCTGAGACAGGTGTTATATCCCCTTGTTCTGGGAAAGACAGGGAGTATTTTGGTCTAGGCACCTTGCTAGCTGTGCCTGAGTGACGTCCAGATCATGAGTGGTGGGTGATACTCATAGACTAGATTCAGCAGTGGTGTTATAAGGATATTTCCCAGCAGCTGGGCCATATAGAAAGAGAAAGTTAAAAAGTGAAACACAACAACTTCAAGTCAGTAAAGAATATTTAAGGCAGTGGTTGTGTGGGATATGTTTACCTCAGATCCTGATGTCTCCGAATGAAGTTGGACCCAGAATTGGCCCTCTGTTGAAAATATTATATAGGCCCTCCCTGATGGCACCATGGTTTAGACATAGCACTGCAACCGCTTCCATGCAAGTTTAATCCACGGCTCCAAAGGTGACCCACATGATGTGGCAGACCTCTCCTGAACCGCCCGCTGTTCCCCTCAGCAGTGTACTTCATCAATCTGCCTGTTCTGCTCCCTGCTCTGTCTCTGGTGAATCCTCTCACCACCCCTGTACCTCAGTTCTGTATGCATAAATAAATAAATCTTTAAAAAAGAAAATATTATATAGTCTTCAGAATAGAATAGGGTAGCTTCCCCACTCTTTCTTTCTTTCTTCCTTCCTTCCTTCCTTCCTTTCTTCAGATTTATTTATTTGTGCATACAGAACTGGGGTACAGGCCAGAGGCTCAGGGGCGGCAAGAGGCTTCACCAGAAACAGAGTGGGGAGCAGAACAGGCAATTCGATGAAGTACACTGCTAAGGGGAGCAGCGGGCGGGTCAGGAGAGGTCTGCCATGCCATGTGGTTACCCTGGGCAGGCGGGAATCGAACTCATGCAGAAGTGGCTTTAGCTTGTCAGTGCTGTGTTTTAACCCGCTGCGCCACCAGGGAGGGCCCCCACTCTTTCTTAATAGAGGAGACTTTCCTTCAGTACTGGTTGTAAAATTTCTCTGAAAATTGATGGATAAGCTTTATTATATCTTTTTATTTTTATAGAGATCATATAGAAACTGGTTGCAAGGCTGCTGAATGAAGTCAAGGAGAAGACAGATATTAGAACTCTGGCATATATGTGAGCTTGAAGTGTATTGCAGGGCTCAGGAAATGGTTGGCGAGGCCTGTTTCCTAGCTGGCACTGGTCCCTTTGTCCTCCTGCCCCCCTGCTGTGGGAAACACCTCAGTCTCTTGTAGTGTTGTTTTGGGCAGGCCGGAGAGATGACCCCACAGCTCTTTCTTTTTAGTAGCTCTGGACTTAGCTATTGGGACCTTTGATGCTTTTCTTCCATATCTGGTGCTAAGAGTCTTGTGTATATCCATCACCCATAGTTAGAGGTCTTGGTGTCATTCAAGCACAGCATGCATGTCACTTGCCATTCTGAACCACAGCATTCCTGGTTTTCTCCAAGAACCAAGGGATATTCCTGGACTATCTCCATCCCTTCTCCATCCCTTCTCCACTGCTGGGCAGTGTACTGTTCGTGCAAAAGCATTTCAAAAATCTTCACAAATTCTTTGGGTCCCTTTTGACATTCTTAACTCATCAAAAATAACTGCTATGTTGGAATGGTTTTCTGAGTGGGATTCATTTATTCATTCATGTTATCCACCACACCTCTTCCCCACATTCATTTAATTTACACAAAATCTTAGAAATAAAAGACTCTACCAGGAGTGGTAAGAGAACATCTTTACCTGTTTCCTGACATATTTACTAAGTCCACGACACTAATTACAACCATAAGACATCATTTTCTACTTCATAATGGTTATTAAAGATACCTGTAATTCCATTTGGTATGTTAACATCAAATTAGTTACAGTCTTGTGGTAATTATCTAATCTTGACCTTTAATATTTATGTTAACTTCTAATATTTGGTTTCCTTGAATCAAAGTGCTATGTTCAGATTAGAAACAAAAGTCCTTCCTTTAGTACAAAAAGGTTTTTTTGTTGTTACTGTTTCTCTTAGATCTATTGTTATAACCCACATTTATTGGAACTTAAGGAATAAGTAAGTGGTACTAGCTTTAGTCAACAGTTTTTAATTACATTTGGAAGTGAAAGAGGAAGAATTATTATGGAAAGATATGGTTTCAGCTAATGGGTGAGATATTTAAAAATCCATTTTGGGGGGATCATAGTGCTTCCATAGTGCTTCCAAAGACTTTTCCCTAGTATTCAAACATTATCTATTTAAGTTGTGTTAGAGGAATAGATAATGGCATAAGCCACTTGTGCATCAGACAATTGAATGCAGTGTCACAGAATAGAAAATTACACTCATGCATTAAGTCTGTTCTGTAGAATACCATTGCCAAGAAATACTACCCATTTAAAAAAAAGTGTGTCAGTACTTCTTTATGTGGTGAAATCCTTGTGTGTTTGCAAAGTGCTGTGTTTGATAAGTGCTGTGTCCCCTTCTTGGAGGTATACAGTGCGTATTTTCATGTAAATATCTCTGAGAACGCAACAGGTGTTTGTATGTTATTTGTCATAGTTGCATGCAACCTCTTTTATCCAGAGTTTCCCTATTATTTTTGATAATAGGTCTCTTTTATCTAAGTGTAGTTGGAGTCCTTGGGTTAATTTCTACAGATATTTGTTTTGAAAAACACAGATTTAAAGATACCTACCTTGCTAATTCTGTTAATGTT